TACCTAAGTTTGTGGAGTAGGTTTTTTCGATAATCTTGAGAGGAAAACCACTTTCACTTCATTCAAGCACACTTATACCCATGAAATTTTACCTTCTCTAATTTAAGATCAAAATTTCGAAATCGCTAAAAATTTGTGGCCTAGATTGAGCTGATTACCTTAGCGCAAAACTACCTGAACAGCCGCCTGGATAAAGGACCCTCGAAGGTAGGTAGAGAGAATATTTTCAAACGAGGACTCTACGAGAAGGTCGGGAGTCCTCGTTTGAAGGGGAAACCTACCTAGTGGAAGACAGGACCCTTCCTTCCTCTTTCCACCTCCAAAGGTGTTGACCAATGCGCGATAGCATAGAAGGGTATGCCCCAGCAGCTTAGCATGGCCGTCGTCGCGCAGCTATCGCCCTTGCCCGCACACTCCCTCGTCCTGTGGCTCTAGCCACCTAGGGAGAGTTAGCGTTGATGAGGTCAGTACCGATGAGACACGGCTAAAGTGCAAAACAACGGGCAAGGGTTCCCATTCTCGGGTTCTAGGTTGTTTTTCTTGGTTTTTGTTCATCCCTGCATCACTGCACGCCTCAACATTTGGTTTTTAGTGGGTCGCCTTTTCATCGTACCTCCGCTTTTAAGGTGCGCCTTTCATCACTAAACTCGTCACATATCATTGTAGGTGCCCAATTCCTCTTGATGGAGAAGTTGTTCCGATTTTCGAATAGTAATCATCGTTTCCATTACTTTTGTGTTAGCATAGAGCAGCAACATATGGAAGGAGTTGTGAGCCTGATCAGTACCAACCAGATGACAGTGGATGTGGTACACTAGCCGGCAGTGTTCGCAAACCAAGCTGAACAGCGGCAAAATCGTAAATTGAGGTGCCGTGAGTTATCCATACAACCTAAACACATTTGAATTGAAAGCAAGACATATGAAATTTCTACAACGATGAAATCTGAAAAAATACTTTCTCCACTCCGATCTTCCGCGCGATTGCTAAAGGACACAGGTCGTGGAAGTGAGCAATGGCCAAGTCGAACTTCTCTTCCCGGAACCTGGCGAAGACCTGCAGCGGTATAATTTAGGAAAACACTTACAAAACTACTCACAAAAGCGTTCAAAAGACGATGTTTCTCATTTCTTAGCTAGGAAACCCCGAAACTATGACGTGATATGGGCTTCTGCAACTGGAAAGTTTTTAGGGATAGTATGAGAGGCTCCAAAAAAAAAACTCGGACTGCGAATCTCATGACCTAGCGGCCTAGCCCGGCAGAAGCAGCACTGCGAGACGGGTCCGAGAATTGCTTCCCGTTTGAGGACACCAAACAAGTGGACACGGTTTTTGGGCACAAACTAAAAACAAGGGTACTATTTGCTTTAGAATTTTACATTTTCGTGTTTTAATAGACATTGCTCCCACATTGAATGGTCTCTTGCTCGACGCGATTCAAAACGTGTGGGTCTAGAAATGACTCAAGCTACAACTACAGATGAGGTTATGTCGAACAATCTATTCGTAAAGGGCGGATTACAGTAGCTACCAGTTACCAGAAGTGTGCGCTTCCAGCGGTCCACCTCGTGATTTCGCAGCAAAAAGAGCCGCGTCAATACCGTAAGGGCCTTACAAAATGAGCTAATGACGGCTATGTGAATCCAAAGGCTATATACCTCTCACCACCTCATCATAGCGGCACAGGATTTCGACCGAAGGGGGTAATTTTGAATACGTCCGTGGATTAGTCGGAAGCCATGGGGCAGGCAAGTCCAGGACAAACTCGGTCCGCACGCAGGCAAGGGCGGAAGTGGGGCTCCGTTCACAGAATCGATGGGATCGTCGCGCCAGTAGGCGTGGCCACGACGGCGCGCGGCGGGTGGGCGTGTCCATTGCCAGATATCGGATGTACTAATGGCGTGGGACTTTCTGAGCATTCCGATGACTGTGATTGTGAATGACTGTTCAGCGGAAATTTCTAATTGTTGAACCCTACGTGTTCTACTTTGGAGCAAGGATACAGTCACTTTCATTAGCTATCTTAATATTGTAGTTGTTCCTTATCTAAATCTATAATAAGCATGTAGCTTTTTGGGCTTTGTGATCAAAACATGAATATAATTTGTCTACACTACTACTAAGTTTCACTCACAGTGTCTCTAAACAGCGCCATTATTTTACAAAACACATTTTCTCTATGAGAACCGTGTGGTAGCGAACAAAATAAAGAACTACGACGACCAGTAAGGTGATCCTATCTTTGCTCTGATTAGGTGTGTTTCCTGGACAAATAACTTGAATTATTCTGATGTCTAAAAGAATTGAGAGTCAAAGTTTCGACTTCTTCCTTTTGCTGTAAGCCAAACTATTGAGGTATTTGCTTCGATGCGCAACCGTGATTCAGCTCTTACATGCTCTCAACACGCTGAATTTTTGAATGTGGTCATAAAAAAGATGTTCGGGATGAATCGTTCACTCTGGCTTCGTTCAAACAAAAAGGATGTTTTAGATAATGTTGTAGTCAACCATATGATAGCAAGCAATAGCTATTTTTAGGTCTTATTCCGGCGAACATATAATAGGACTATTAAAAGAATTGTTTCTGTTGCAGTCATCACGGCAAAGTACCTTGGGACAGGTTCTGTAACCATTGTTTCCCCAGATATAACCAATTACACGTATGGTGCTGGCGGCTTCGCCTCAGGCTCTTGTCTTTAGCATTGGGTCGCACAAGATCTTTATTGCTCGGACAAACAACAAAATGTCCA